TGCCAGCATGGAGAATAATGATTCTTTTTCCACGGTTGCATGGTGCATTTAAAATGCCCTTGTTGCTGTCGTCAACCCAGCCGTACTGCACAACATCATGGGTATCATATCACGTTTCATCCAGGTAAATCAGATTTATTTTCTGCTCTCTATAGATTTTAACTTTGTGCAAAAATTCTTGGCGCAATTCAACGATTCGAGACGACTCCATAATCACCATTCTTTTATCTAATTTTTTGTATTGAAAACCACACAGTTTTACAATACAGTGCATTGAGTCTAAGCATTTGTAATTATAAAAATCTTCAGGATAATCTTTTAATTTATCCCGTATCATTTCCAACGTGGGCACCAAATTTTCTTTATAAAATCCGTATATTATACGACGAATATCTTCCTGAAAACCCACGTCTATTCTTTTTAATTTTTGCCCTATGCGCTTTCTGTGGAAGGAATGGTTGACTACATCTCCCCTTTTTATAACCCGATAAATGGTAGACCGACTGATTTTTGTCAGGATACAAATTCTGTTTAAAATTTGATTTTGCGAGGAATCTGGATTTTCGTTTTTCAGACAATCATACATATTTAGAATTACTCTTTGGGTCTGTTCCTCTAAATCTTTATGAAAGAATTCTGCCTGCACAGGTTCATCAACCATCTCCTCGTGGCTTGGAGCATTTTCCCAAGGTCTCCAAAGAGCCATATTTAGGACACACAAGAACAATCAACACAACAATTAAATCAACAAGTAAACTGAGTATTCAAAAGTCAAAAACACACAAACTAATAAAATCTATGAAAAAACACGGACAGACTAAAGAAAACACGTTTATTCACCGCTACACGCACTGGCTAAACTGTTTCAATTTTCAGTAGCCACCTGCACTTGTTCGGAGCTCTGAAATACACGCTTTCTCATTGGCTATGTCAACGCATAGGCGTGCTTTACTCCACGTGGACCGGTGGAACTGCCTTTGATCTTATACTTATATGTATTTGCTGCGAAATTTGGCGATTCTTGCAGCAACAGAGCGTGTTAAATATAGATATATAAAACGCACCCGGTATTTCACAGTGTTTCAAGTGACTTCAGATAAAGTATACCTATTGCCACAAAATATTTGCTGATTCACCAATTACTGTTGGTTGTGGTATAGTTCATAGATTCAGTCACTCATATGCAAGGTCGCATATTGTAACGCGGATAATTCAAAAAACCAAACTTACAACGCAATCCCAACAGAATTTTGCAAATTTTTACGAATCCCTCAAATAGCAGTACAAAGTCAACTTTCAATCACTACCCCAAGGTCACGTTTTAAGTCACCTTTCACGATGTGATGCAATGAACGGCAGAAAACAATAGATGTTACTTGCCAATACTGGGTCTGCAAGGAATCTTTTGTGGTTTCTTATAGTTTATGACTTAACACCGGCAAATGGGAACGTTGCCGTACAGCAGCGTTACCAGGTCTATTGATTTTAGTCCTAATCTATCGAACTTCCAATTTCAATGCGAAATCTATCGAAAATTGATCTCAGAATCTTAAATAGTATATTTCTCATATGTAGGTACGTAAACACAAGAATAGAGTCACTTGGCTCCTTCCATCCTTCTTCCATTTTCAAAACCGAGTGCAGCCCAAGCAAGCTGCCCCCCTCATCAATTTTCAATCTACCGAAAAAAAATCTCACAAATCTACCGAAAACATATCCTATACCTGGCATCACTGCAGCGCACGTGATGGACGAAATAAAGCAAATAGCAGTTCACCCCGTTGATTCACCTACAGTAACTTCCTGCACTTTCTCTAAACTACTCGTGCGTTTACGAAATTGTTACTCTGAATCACCTATTGTGATTGGTTATGATTCATTCCATTGATTCACTCTCTACAGGTCATATTTTAAAACGCACATGGTTCGAGGAAAACAAAGCTACAGTACACTCACATAAGCATTCTTATATGTCGTTTATCTCCCTCTTGTAATAAGTTGGTATTTTAATCGCTTGCTTTCCAGGTGCTCTTTGGGTATCTGGTGTCTACGTGATAATATCACAGACAATAAGAAACTAATTAGGTCAGCATATGTGTCCATGCGGTATGTGTCATATGCAATAAATATTCATGGTTCTTGAAATTTGTTGTACTTGGTGCGACCATAAGCCTTGGAAATTTTTACTTCCTACGCTTACTGGCGGGTAAGATTGTAATCGCCAAAAATTTCGAAAATGAGATATGCTTTTCGGATGTTACATGACATGTACACCACGAAGAACCATGTCACTCATTTTCGTCAGTCTGTCTGTCTGTCGAACTGTGCTATAGGCAACTTGAGAAGTGTCGCTCGGACTTTGATGAAATTTTTAAACAAGGTTAGTACTATGACAAGGACGCTGTGTCGTTTTTGAAAATCGGTTCAATGGCGGTAGATAAAAAGGCCTAAAACAGAAAAAATAAAATCGCTCAAACATCGTTTTTTGACGTTTCAGAGGATACTAATCAGTTTTAAGAAAAAATTTAGAGGTTAAAAAACTCGGTGTACGCTCGGTACGCTCCCAACATCGATAATTCTACGCACCTATTAGACATATTTCACACATCACAGGTTTCTCTGTACATTAGCCCTGAAAACTTGATAGAGAAGTATTTTCAACACACGCGTTGCACATAACACAACGAACGTTGATACACCTGCGTCAGATGCAAATCGCGTACCTATCGGCGCGGCTGCTGCTGGCGTCGTAAACGTAAGTAAAACATTTTTTGCATTTAGACGTTGTATGAACAGGAATATTGAAATAGGCATTGTTGCGTAAGGAAACTTGGCGGAGTGAACACCTCTTCTCTAAAGCAGTAAACAGATATCTGGGTGATTTATATTTTAAAACTTTATACAGTCGAGTTCCATACTGAAGTAATATACGATACTTGAATTTTAAAACATTTTCTCTCACATAATATATGTTCTTGTTTACGTATATCTTTGAAACAGAATCTCATGCAGCAGTTTTGTAATACTTGAATTTTGTGCTTCATTTCTTCCGTAAGAAAATTATAATATACTGTAGCGCCATAGTCTAGATGAGTGAGGATTAGTGCATTGGTAAGTCTTAATTTTATATCCATGGTTGAAACATGTTTGCATTTCCAAAGCGACTTATATTTACAATAGCATACTCGAAGTTTATTAATGATATGGTTCTCAAAACCTAAATTTGTGTCCAATAGAATTTCTAAATTCTTAGTCTCCTCTACAATTTCAACCTAAAACCTAAAACAATGTCTGTACTCATCAATTTTTTAAATTGAATATTTAACCTAGAACCAATGCAGCAAGCTTTAGTTTTTGAGGGATTCAGTTTCAAACAATAATTTTTGGAATAGTTTGCAATCATTTCTAGATTTATATTTAATTCTGAAATCAATGGATTAACTTCATTTGGCTTGGAAGCTTTATACATTTGTACATCATCAGCATATCCAATCTGTGATATACAATTTGATAAATCAGATGTATAGAATGTAAATAGTGATGGACCTAATACACTTCCTTGCGGAACACCAGAAATTATATTTTGTAAAGTGGACATTTTGTTAAATATCTTTGTGCACTGGGATATAAGGGCGTTGTGTGTGAAGTGCAGAGTCAACCTACTTGACGATTTTTTTTTATTGGTTAGTGTTGTCGCAACCATTTTGTCATCTAATTTCAAAGATCTTGGATTGGTGTAGTAGTAACTGACACTGTTCACGGTCATTAAGTTAAAAAGCTACGATATACAGGGTGACTTCGAAGTTGAGTCATTTATTTTAACAGTGAGTAGATCTGATCAAAAGAAATGTTTTTTTCCTTTACCATTTTTAGGTAAAATTAAAGTAACAAAGTTATAGCTCTTTGGAAGTTTGAGTACCGCCCTGTCTCAATAATAATATTATGTGCTCGTGTTTGGCAACAACGGATATAATCCGCCTTATCGGTTCATCGCATCGGAAACAAAAAAGCGAAAGAATTTGGAACGATGTTTTTACACTTTTATTCAGTTGTATCCAGTCAGTGTCAGTCGGTAACGCGTGAGTGAATAGTGGTGTTTATTGCGTGGCTCAAACGAAATAAAAAATGGTACATGTTTACGAAAATGCTGAACTTGTGGACATGATTCTTATTTACGCGGCATCACGGATTTATGCGGCTCGGTTTCCCAATCGAGTGCAACCAACCCCTCGTGCCTTTGTTAATGTAGTACAAACGGCTCGTGAATCAGGTGACTTAAGACCTCACAGGGGAGGGCATGCCGGTGCTCCAAGACCGCACGATCAAATACAGGTCCGCACTGAAATACTTGTCGGGAAGATACTTTATAAAACAAGGTAACATTTTTTTTTAATTTTTTTTTATTTTTACACACATATTTTGGTTTATCTTCCTTCTACAATCATTATCTGAAAATTAATGACGCAACTTCAAAGTCACCCTGTATGTGTGAGCAAAAACCACAGTACCTAAGTACTACTGTATTATGGCAGAAAGAGAAGGAAATCAGACTATTCATCACAATTGCACAGTGCTTCCTATCGACCAACCAGTGGAACCCCATGTATTGAAAAATTAGCCCAATTGGTATTTTTTCTGCTTTGAAAGTATTTCACTGTACAAAATATATAAGCGCGGATACATCAAAAAACCGCACTTTTTCATGTTCACTTTGTTCGTTATGGAAACTTGCTCCCATTTGACTCAACATCCCGTTCCTCGAATTTTAATACCTTATCCTTATGATGCTCAATCTGTATATTCTGTTTATGAGAATCGTTCGACTTGCTCTTGTGAAACAAGGCGAAAGCAGTATTTAAATACTTGACCCACATAAAAAATTTATATCGAAACACTTGAATATCTTGAGGGGCACTTTTATTTCCAAAAATAACATTTAATTAAGGTTCATATCTCATAAAGTATAACGATAATATAATAATAATACAGTAAATCAAATACTAAACCAAATCACGACAACTTATTCAGTAAAATCTAAACGAAATCAAGGAAAATCTTGCTTCAAACAAAAACACTACTGTTACACTTGGAAACGATGAGCTAAAAAGTATAGCGGTTGACTGAGAATCAAAAGCTTCCTTGATGAAGAAACTCGCAAATTTGCACTGAATCCACGTTTTCAAATGGAATGTCCTAAATCTCAATTTAGATTAGATACCAATTTTGTATTTTCCTAACTTAATCTGATCTGAATGATTTTAAAATCAGTATATGTATTTTTAAACATTCACTAATGAATCAAATTTAAGCCTGCAGCAGGCTCGTACTATGTTTTGAATAAAACTGTCTTATTTAAAAATTATTAATTTGATGTAAGAAATAATATTTGCTTAGCTACCTAGTCTAATACGTTTAATGGAATTATATCTATTTTTGACAATAATAATTTTCAACCTGTCTTACACCCTTTACCTCACCTATTCAATAAAATAATATACAATCTGAATTGGACAATAGTAAGATTATTAGTTACAGTATGTTTCTAATCATAATACTCAATACTACTAAGATAAGTAGAGGAAATTTGTTAATTCAAGTTGTATAGATATTAACTTCTGTTAACAAAGTTATCTTGGAAAAAGTGGATACTCGCACACTGTACGTACAAAAATTAACAGGTTTAACAAACAGTACGATATAAAAGTCAATTTGACCAAGGTCTATCAGATTACTTGTTATTCTTCATTCCAAGTAATCAATACGATATGTTAAATAGAATTTAATAAAAGCGCATGCAACAAACTCATACTTCACACATTCATATTATGATAGCAGCTAATTTTGATTGTAAATTAAACAATAAATAAAATATATAAATATTGACATTTTCGTCTTACAATGAGACCTTACGGCGTTCCGGTCACCGATTAGGCTGCTGCTCCAGAAAATAAGGGGGAAATTTCTAGCGAAAGTATCGGTCTCACCATCTGTCAAAGTTTGAAAAATGCTAACTTACGAAAATGGTTATATCAAAATAGGCATCTTGTAATGTTTCCTTGTAAACTAATTTTACAAAAGTATTTATTTGTCAACATATTTTAATTGTAAGTAATGAATAAATATGTTTTTTATATTAAGTACATCATTCAATAGGATATGTTATTAAATTATAATTGTACATGAAATAAGAGAAACGTTTGATCAAGCACAAGGTGTCTTCAGCTTATCAAAGGAAAAACATACTTTATTTAGATTTTGAGAAAAATCTCTGGTCAAGAAGTTTCGATGCAAACCATTGGTCATTTTTTGAAAAATTGGTGCTAATAACTGATGATTAATGAGTCTCAGGTAAGCTTCATGAGATGAAATTCTCCGTTTTTTTGCATCTGAATTTTTTTATAAAGTGTTTGATTTGACAGTAAAAGTAAACATCGCATAGTTGACACATTGCAGTGCATTTGGAATAGTCTTTTACAGTACATGTTGTCAATTCTTACATTCAAGCATTTTTGGAACTTGAGACAAACGGTGAGATTGACCATTTTGAAGGGAATAATAATAATAAGTTGTACACGTTAAGACTTTAGGATTGTACTACACTATCAACTCTCTATCTGCTGCAAAATCGGTGTTCCGAAGGGTGTAAGGTCGCCTTCTTAATCCAGGAGGTATTTTTGCATCTGCTGGGGCAAATATTCTGATTCGCACTCTGCACGTTACCAGGCCACAAATTGTGTTAAAAATGAATTTTTTTTATTATCCCCAAAAATAGCATTCTCGATCCTTTACGTTTTTGTGACAAAAAAATAACTAACTAACGTTTTCCTAGTGTTGATAATTTTCGATATATGAGCGATTTAATATTAGAAAAAGTACGAAATAATTTCATTTTCGACACTGAATATAGTTCCTGGCAACAGAAAATTTTCATTTATTCAAATTGTATTTTACGGAGGAAATTGTTTATTTCGCACTTTTTTAAATATTAATTGCTTATATCTCAAAAACTATCCCAAGGCGAAAAAAATTTGGAATATATTTAAAAAAATGTTTGGAACTGGCATCACGCGGGTTCGTTGAAAGATGTTCTTTTTGGATAAGATTGTGCTAAAGATAGAATCAAAATATTTGGGATACTTCCTGGACTACTGAAATAAGGAGCCGTTCAACTTTAGTACATCAGGTTTTTAAAGAAATAAATACAGGGTGTCCTCAAAGTTGGCGTTTTCCTTTACACGACGTGTAGATCTTGAAAACATAAGCAATTTTTCTTAGTACCATATACACCAATGTCTTAAGGGAACCGAGATAAAGGGCTCTGCAACATCAAAAATATCTGAATACCGTCCTGTAGCCGCGGCCCGCGACATCACCGAGTGGTACAAGGTCACTGGCTCAACCCGACGACAGAACTGGGTCGGGGTCAGTGTGTCCGGTCAGTATGCAACCTTCAACCGACGGTTACGGTCACGCGTGTAGAGGTAAACGAACCCGTATAATCGATTGCGTTTCAAAAAAAAAATTAATAATGGCACACTCATACACCAATAATGAACTCGTTGATATGTTGTTAATTTATGGCGAATGTCTTCAAAATGATGCAGAGGCTTCGCGAGTGTATGCAGATCGTTTCCCTAGACGACATCATCCAAGGCCCCGCAGATTTGTGTACCTGGTCCAGAGAGTCAGGGATACGGGCCATTTGGAGGAATTTCGAGGTGTGCACAGTAGGAGGCCTAGACAAGCACGAATGGTGCAAGTTGAGGAAGAACTACTGAATCGAGTAGACGAGAATCCTTCAACAAGCACTAGAGACGTGGCTAGAGAAGTGCAAGTATCAAAAACTAAAATGTGGCAAGCGCTGCGTGAAGAGGGGCTGTATCCATTTCACGTCCAACGTGTACAAGCCCTTCAACCTGACGATTTTCCAGCAAGAGTGCGGTTTTGTGAGTGGTTGTTGCATCAACATGACAATAATCCGGACTTTTTGAAGTGCATATTGGTGATAGATGAATCTACGTTCACGCGTAATGGGGTGAATAACTTTCGCAACACTCATGTTTGGTCAGTAGAAAATCCGCACGCTGTCCGTCGGGCACATTTTCAACAAACATTTTCGGTGAATGTTTGGGCTGGCATGATGAACGGTATGCTCATTGGACCATTTATTCTCCCAAATCGATTGGACGTGATGCAATACCTAGACTTTTTACGCAACATTTTGCCTTCCTTGTTAGAAGATGTGCTATTAAGTGTAAGACAATCAATGTGATTTCTGCACGATGGTGCACCGCCCCATTTTAGACGCGGAGTGCTTGAGTTTTTGAATGAATTATTTCCGAATAGGTGGATCGGACGTAATGGACCCGTAGCGTGGCCTCCACGATCTCCAGACTTAACACCATGTGATTTTTTTCTTTGGGGAGAAATGAAACGCTTAGTGTACAAAACTGAAGTGCATACGGTTGACGAACTTCGTCTCAGAATTGAACAAGCTGGTGCTTTCATTCGGGGGAGGGACTCCATTCTCAAAGCCTGCACCGATGCTTGGCTACGTCGTGCACGCACCTGTGTTTTTGAATCAAACGGCGATAACTTCGAACAATACCTATAAAGGACGTTTACCTAAAAACTGAAAACGCGGCAACGCCGTCATATTTGTTACCTCTGTTCGTGGTCTGCACCACCGCCTGCATCTGCTCGGTAGCGCATCAGCTGATTTCATTTTCTGTTGGAGCGGTATGATTTCGGGCAGAGACGTACTTAGCCCTTCTCGTCAAGTGGAGAGTGAGTACCTTTTCCTTTATTTTTTCTTAATTGGTCGCCCTCAGTTCACTACACATTACCTTTGTTATTTCAAGGGTAGTTGTTTCTGAAAAGGACAACCCCAACTTTGCGGACACCCTGTATAATGTGCTAAAATAAAGCACAGATTATAAGATCATTTGAGCCAATGCTGGAAACTCAAGGCGTTGACGTTGAATGAATTTCGAATTTGACTTCAACGGTCTTATAAACATGTATGTTATATCCCATGCTGAATAATTTTTCGGCTGGACAGTTTCGAACTTCTTATTGCTCGGGTGCGGACGGAATGGGTGAAAAGTCCACTTTTGCTCCCATCCTCTTCAAAGCGATGATCGTGTTGACCGCTTTGATCCAACGTCGCTTGATCACGTACCGTTTCAACTTGGATTTGTTGATCTCCAGTTCTGAAACCACCGTGTCTCTGCGCAGCCAGACATGCTGGAGTGTCTCCTTCGCGCTCGGTCTGGTACTAAGGGGAATAAAACAGATTTTAAATGCATATTAACCTTTTCTTCGGAATCTTTTCAAATAGTTGAGCATGACTACAAGATCTTTTCGTTAAATGCTGTTTAATTCAGATATGACTTTTTAATCGATATAAGACAACGCACAGCGCTATCTATTACCACAATCCACCACTAGAAGCTGACGATTCTGGCGGTATAGTAGATGTGCTCTACTCGTCATTGAACAACTAAACATTGCATTTGTCCATCAGACTGCGGTCAGCCAATCATGGATAGCTGTTCCATGCTTCTTGCCAACTCATCAGCATGGTCTAGGCTTGATCTCTGGGACAATTGACAAGCGATATCTATTACCAGGATCGACCACTGCAAGGGTGTATAGCAGGTATCGGTTATAACTGTAAAGAGCTCAGTTCGCGTTTGATAGCCCAGTTACCACTCAGAATGTTAGGGGCTGACGATTCTGGCGGTAAACCCTAGACCATATTGATGAGTTGCCAAAAAGCACAAAACAGCTGTCGATGGCTGGCTGTCCGTGGTCGGACGGACGAAAGCAGCATGCTTAGTTGCTTTTAAGGTTGAAAATATTATTCGAAAGTTTGAAATCGGAGACTTGCCCCATATACAAATCCCATTTTTGGACGTCGAAATACACTATGTGGTTGGCTATCTGCAGGTAGAATACGTCAGTGAATGATTCGACTTAGTAAATAAACTTGAAAATCTAAATTTTACAAGTGGGATATTCAAGTGTTTTTCAATCTGCTGAAATCAACAATTCATATTTATTATTGAGTGAATCGACTTGATATTCGGATTCCTAAAGCTCAAAAGTATTTTCTTCAGGATGTATGCATGCTTTCATAAGGAAACGTGCCCTTAGCATATTATTAGTGGATCCGTAAGGGACACGACGGTTATTTTAAAGTAGTTACAGAGAAAGGAAATGGGCGTGATAACGATCAGTAAATCATGGCAGTGAATCGAATTGCATTGTCGGGTGCTGCCTAAAAAGCTTATAAAAGTCATAGGAACGGTTTCTGCCGAACATTGCTTTTTAGGATACCTCTTACTTTCGATGCATGTATTAGTTTTTAATCAGGAAAATTAATTTCATACATAACCTTTCACTTAGTCGTCCAAACCAATTTTTTCCAACTAACTGGGTTAATTTTATTATAATCTCAGACCAGATTATGACAGTTATAGCAATAATAAAAAACAGATAATTGTTACCCTCGTGGTGATCTTCTAAGTTGAAAATTTACAACCATTCCCGCTACGTTTCTTATTTATTTTACTGATGACTATCACACTGATAAACACAGGATTTGTGACATGACAATTTTTGGGTGTATCTTATGTACTTTGATACCCTTAAATCAAATCTAAAAACAGAATTTTTCACCCACAGATATTCGGTGACATCTACTTTTATGAATTACAATACCTAACATCTCATATTGCTGCATTTCTCGGCGTTTATGCGATGACGCACATATATAATGTTAAGACCTGTCTATTCCTGTTTATTATATGCGAGCTCTATGTTTAGAGAGCATATTGCGTTTTTTAGTAGACTAATAACAGCCGAGTCACTTACGTCTTCTGGGTTGAAGAGTACTGTTAATTTTTGTTAAAACGGTGTGTTGCTTTTAGTTTATTGTGATCGAGACTAGCTTTATGGACAATGCCTAGAAATTGTGTAAATAGTAGCGAACAGCTTTTTGCTTCCACCTTTGCATATTAAGTTGGGTCTGATAAAAAATGTTGTGAAGGTTATGGATCGAAACGGAAGAGGACTTCTGCTTTTAAAAAAACATTTCCGATATTTAGTGAGGCAAAAATTAAAGAGGGCATATTTGTGGGTCCACAACTACGGAAAATCATGAAGGATTATGTATTTGAAAGTGCTCTAAATTAAACTGAATTGCGAGCTTGGAATGCTTTTACATTAGTTACTGCAATTTTTTTAGGCAATGAGAAGGCGAACAGTTATAAAGATATTGTGAGTGAACTAATTAATGCTTATTAAGGAATGGGATGCAACATGTCTCTAAAAATTCACTTGTTGGATTTTCATCTCGATTTTTTTTTTTTTTTAAAATTTAGGTGCGGTAAGTGATGAACATGGTGAACGGTTCCACCAATACATTTCTGCTACGGAAAAACGATATCAAGGCAAAATGGAGTGTCAATTTGCTTGCTGATTATTGCTGGACATTGTTAAGAGATACTTCAGGAGCAACTTATTTAGTACTCTTACACACATATCCTTATACAGGGTGGTCCATAAGTCCTTTGAAATTTCAAATTTGAATAAAATTTAACGGGTGAGCGTGAGCGGCGCGGGCGAGGTGGGGGCAGTATCTTCAGTGTCTGGGAATTCAGTCGCCATGGAGTGTTTCACTGGACCGGATCGTGCTTTTTGTGTGCGCGCGTTTTATCAAAATAATGATTCGGCAACCATTGCGCGGCGTAAATATCGAGAATACCACGATTTACACAATTTTACAAAGTGTCCAACAGCTCAAACGATTAAGAACTGGGTTGCTAAGTTCGAAGAGACTGGTTCGACGTTAGATAAACAGCGGTGGGGTCGACCAAGGACAACTCGTATTGAAGAAAACATCAACATTGTGGCACAGTCTGTTCGTCAAAATCCTACCCAGTCTACTCGTAAGCGTTCCAGTGCACTAAACGTACCCAGAACATCTTTACAGCTGATTTTAAGGAAAGATTTACGTCTGCACGCTTACAAAATTCAGTTAGTTCAGGAATTAAAAGATAATGACGCTATTCAGAGACTAAACTTTGCGAATGAAATGTTGAATCGATTTTCTTCGCTCAATAATGTGTTGTTCTCGGACGAGGCTCACTTCCATTTAAACGGGCATGTAAATAAACAAAACTGCCGTTATTGGAGCCCCGAAAATCCAAAGCGTAAGCATCAGAAGCCCTTACACAGCCCTAAAGTTACAGTTTGGGCTGCTATGTCAGCGCATGGCATCGTAGGCCCTTATTTTTTTGAGGACGACAGAGGTCGCGCATTAACTGTTACTTCGGAGCGGTATGTAGCAATGATAGAAGAGTTTTTGACACCAGCGTTGCAGAATTTTCCAGGCTATAATACGCAGACCTGGTTTCAACAGGACGGAGCAACTGCCCACACCTCCAACACTTCTATGCCCGTCGTCTGTCAACTTTTTCCCAGCAAAGTAATTTCTCGAAGGGGAGACATTTCCTGGCCACCACGTAGTCCAGATTTGATCCCAATGGACTTCTTTTTATGGGGCTACCTCAAGAGTAAAGTGTACGACACCACTCCGCGATCAGTTGATGTCCTGAAAGAAAATATCCGAAGAGAAATGGCAAGCATTACAGTGTTGACTTGCCGCGCAGTCATCGACAATTTTAGACGTCGTTTATATGAGTGCCGTGATCGAAATGGATTGCATTTAGACGACGTGATTTTAAAACAAAATTCCCATTCAATAAAGATGATAACAAAATATAATAATTCTTCATAATGTAACTAGTTTGGTTATATTCCTTTTTTTCCAGCTCAAAGGACTTATGGGCCACCCTGTATTTTACGAGAATAAGCAGCAAATAAAATGCCTTATTGCAAGGAAACCGTAGGTGATAGAAAAAATCGAATGCTATTTACGGCTTTTTGGGTACGTTTTACATAATAACCACCTTGTTTTGTCCATGTCACAAAAAATTATTGTAATTTTGTTCACCAGTGTCATCGCTTCGACTACTAGCCTGCCAGAAATTCCTGCTTTTATGTTGGAGTACCCTGCATGTCTTATTTTTCTGAAACTTTACCTTTTGTAGCCAGAATTTACAAACGACATAATCTTGTGTTCTATTGAGTAATTATCATTGCTGGACACCTGATGTTCGTAGCTAATTAATCGAAAAATATCCAATTGTTTTAATTTTCAATTTCGTGTAAAGAAGAATGCAGAAACATGCTCTGATTTTAGTTGAATATATTATATTATAAGCCGGATTTTATTATAGTTAGCACGAAAGAAGGAAAATACTACTGATAAGTCTACTAATACGAGTACCACACATACGAGTACTTAGTGTTTGTGGTTAGGATGTTAATATCTGTTACAGTACCATGTGAGAATAACTGAATTAACTTACCTTACTTGAATATATTCAAAATGAAAACGATATTATGTTTGCACCAGTTACATCTTTACCGATTAGGCACATCTATTTTTACTATAAATTACTGCCATCGCCAATCGGTTTGTGGTCCATGAAAGATATGCTCTGTCTGATGTTATTGTCACACTTCAGATAACGTTTATATCCTCAAAAAAGTATTTATTTTCCCAAAATACTATAATTGTTTGCCATTGCGTTCTTGAGCTCTTTGAAGTGATTCATTTGGAGGAAAACTGTCGAAAACGATACGACTATCTTTCGGTCGAGGCTTTTAAGAATAAAACTGGTCTATTTATATCCCGAATTTTTACTACGAAGTACATACTCAGTGACTTTTTCCGAATTCTCGAATCATGGCCCCAATTGTTTTCGATGAAAACGTAGAAGCAACGCAACTGATGGAGTTGATATCAGGGAAAACTGTAAAAACATGTTTTGATAAAAATCCCTTGAAAAGGGCCATCATTCTTTAAGCAAGGTATTCAAAATATGTCGATTCATTATTAAAATTAATGTTTGCAGGGCATTTCAATATCATTCGATCTACGTATCATTGGAAGCAACAATTTCTCCGCGGTGTGACTCACGTTGAGGAAAAGCTATGAGTTATTATTATATACTAAGTGACATATAAATCCGAACACCCAGTTTAAATGGTTTCATTTTAATAAAATTGAATGAATCGTGGATTTACTGTTATGAACCAGAAAATAAACGACAGTCGGCTGTTTGGGTGTTCCAAGGTGAAGAAAAGCCAACAAAAGTCATCCGTTCTCGAAGTGTTTCTAAAAAGATGGTCGCGACATTAGTGTCCAAAGCGGGTCATATTACAACAATTTCTCTTAGTGAGCAAAGAACTGTTACTGCGGATTGGTATACCACCATTTGTTTGCCAAAAGTCAGCACCGAGCTTCGAAAAATCAACCCCGCCAAGACAATGCAAGCTCGCACACAGCCCAAAAGACCAGGCAGTATTTAATGGAAGAAAACGTGGAATTATTGGACCATCCTCCATATAGTCCGATGTAAGTCCTAACGATATCTTTACTTTCCCGAAAATTAAAAACAGACTGCGTGGTCAAAGGTTCCACTCACCAGAAGAAGCAGTTGTCGCATTCAAAAATGCCGTTTTGGATCTGTCAGCAAACGATTGGAATAAGTGCTTCGAAGATTGGTTAGAGCGCAAGCAGATGTGTATTAATCTTCGTGGAGAATACGTCGAAAAACAATAAAGTCATTTCAAACTACCTACCGTGTTGTTTTATTTCCATATGCAAAACTTAAAAGACATCCCTCGTAAATACGCATATGCTGTACGTATGTATCTGTCTTTAGCATTTTTATGGAATTCATAAAATTCACTTGGTCAGATCTGCCACTGTAATAGTTTTTCTCCCAGTAAAGTACGAAATGTGATACAAGTCTGCCAATTACGAGTATGCAGAAATATGAAATGAAAAACTTGCATCAAGTTATATAATTAATATGCATATAAGTAATATTATGCCTGCTTCTGATGCTTACGATTTAAAAGACGCTTACGTTAGGACATATGTATTTTGAGCTTTCTACAACATATTTCCCTTGATGAGTACTTGATGTTTTTAAAAGCTTTGTTTGGCAAGTTTGACATTTTTGACCAAAACTCACCCATTTTCGAATATTTTTGTGCAAATGGTTCCAAAATATTCGGTAGAATCATCACATCGCCTAAAATAAAACCCACTAAGGTACAAGAGATGTACAAAAATTAAAGTGTTCCACTGCAATCCAATTAAAAACAAATCTTGAAACAATTATAATGGACTTCAACTTTTGCTTTGAATGTGAGTTCAATGGAGTACACTCTTCTTTTTATATACCGGGTGTTTCAAATTCGGAAACGGTGAGAGACACGAAGTTGCCTAGAAAGTTGCGAATTTAGGTTACCAAGTAAATGCCGCTTAGAAATTTCCGAGATTCAAAGTAATTCCGAAGAGAGACGGAAAAAAACGAACCTATAATCGTTTTAATTTTCTCCTAACATATTTATGGTGGGACTTAAATATAATTGCACATTAATATTGCCACGTTTTTTCCTCTTCCAGATGGCGGAATTAGAATTTCAATATGACGTTTCGTCTCTTGTCTTCCGACATCAACTTCATTTTTTCTTAAGGACGTCGGATTGGAGCTCTACACATGTGAATAGAGTTTTTAATTCTGAATCCAAAAATTTCCTAGGTATGCCTTGAAACTATCAGATAACCATTTGTTTCATATACCAGATTTACTGCAAAATCATTTTTATTTTGTCCCGAGTTTATTTGAGGTACGATTTCAAAACAAATTGCATGTTGTTGTTACCAATTTTGCTCCTCTACAAGATGGCATAATCAAATTTTCAATTCGAGATCTATGCTTTCGACTTCTATTACCAACTTCGTTTTTCCATGTAGACGCTGTATTGAAATGTTGAACATTTAAATGAATTTTTCAGTCCTATATTCAATCATGTTTTTCCTTGGTTGGCAATGAATTTGTTGTTGGAACAAAAACTATTAGGAAATAAAAAGGTAAGTCCAATTTATGCACAAACTAATGCAAAACATATGACCTATACTTTACACTGCTTCCAAGCTAGTGGGGCCTTGCTTATAGTCCCTGATCTTTTTAAATAACTTTCGTTTGGTCGTCATAGGCGCACTTCAAAGTACAAATTAAATTGAAGCCATAAAAGTAAAACCATGTTCACACTGGATAGATTTATCTCAAAATAACAATAACGTAAAAAGTATTTAGCCCGTGTTTCGAGACTAACCCTTTAGGTGACTATTATTTTTTCTATTTGAAGTGAGAGAAACGTCAGCAGTTTTATTGATACTAAATGCAGGTGTAACCAAGAAAAATATATCTGCATAACGAGTTGAAAGTTATTACTTGCTGTAATGTTTTTTAAATTTTAATAATTATTATATATATATTATTTCTGGTGACTGACTTTTTTTTTGTGTAATGTGATCATTAGAGACCGGATTATATGCAACATAAAAAGTTTGAAATATGCATAAAAAATGGTTAAAATAAAACAATGATTTTCATACCCTTTATTCTGAAATCTGTTTACAAATAATTAATAATTGGGCACTTGAATGGCTTATCTATGGGATCTGTACGTGACGACTATTTAACATGTTGTTATTTTTGTAAACACAAACAATAAGGCATTGCTCCAAATATTCAGCGGTAAGACGGTGCCTTTGATCATTCAAAATATTATTATAGGTTGGAAAATACCGCTCCACATCCACGGAGGTGACTGGACAATATTTGAATCTGGGTGCTATCTAGCTTTTATTGTCTCTGGCAAAACGTCACCAGTCCCATCATAAAGCTCTCAATTTGACATAAAGATTCACAGCCTGAGTTATTGTTCAAGGCTTTCAAACTTATACGAGGGATGTCTTTTAAGTTTTGCATATGGAAATGAAACAACACGGTAGATAGTTTTAAATGACTATTGTTTTTCGAAGTATTCTCCCCGAAACTAATTTTCTTACTCCTAATTCTTCATGTAAATTTTTTTGAATTGAGGTCTTTGAGATCTTCAAGGACGCATCAATCTCGCGATATGTCACGTGTCTATCTTCAATGATGAGTTTGCGCACAGCATCGACGTTTTCCTGGGTGACTGCCGTTTTTGGTGCACCCACCCTGGGATCGTCGGTAAGACGTGACTAAGACTCACCCATCCACGTTTGAATTCTCCATACCAACGAGAAATTGTCGACTGATGTGGCGTTTCGTTACCGAAAACGGACAGTAACTCAGCAAGGCATTCTTGTTGCGATAATTGTCTCTGAAGGTTGTAATAAATTATGTCGCGAAAATGTTCTCGGTTGAGTTCCATTTTTCTAATGACTTGGTGACACTTAAAAATTCACTGTAGTGAGAACACTGCACGTGTTGTTGTGAAACTTTGAATCTAAGTTTACTAAAGAGTGAGGTTAAGATTCAGTACTGACGTTCGATCCGCGCGGCCTACTATGTTTCTATATGCAAAACTTAAAAGACATCCCTCGTATTTAAACGAGGAAAAATTAAAAAATCATGCTAAAATAGAAAAATTTGTTAAACCCTCTCAATCTTCTGAAAAAGAACAAGTAACTATCAATATTTCTGAGACACGTGAAACAACTTTTATTTCTTGTTCTACCTCTAAAGAACTTTTGCCTTGTACTAAAACTTTTACTTTTGATAAAGTTATTAGCAATGCCATGTTTACTACACCAGGTTCCTCTAATGGCAACATTACTATATGTAGCGATCTTGGATTTTACATGGAAAAAACTCTTACTGATGAAGATAAAAAGATTATTATTAGTCTTGAACCCAATAAACCTAAAGGTCCATTTCCCAAGGATTCGAACCAAAATGATCGCAGTTTTAGTGAGAGTTATTATTCTTCTACTACAAAATACGGCCCTGTCAATCGTCTTTGGCTGTGCTATTCAACTGTACTAGATGCAGCCTATTGTGAATCTTGTTGGCTTTTCTCAAAATTGTGCAGTCACTGGAGTAAGGGCTTAAGAGATTGGAAACATTTATCATCACGCATTGAAGAGGACAGTAAAAGCAAAGCTCATATTGAAGCTTGCTCTGTTCACGACCTTTGGAGAAAAAATCGTGCCATTGACAAGAACCTAGAAGAAGAGGTCAGATTTCAAGCATCCTTCTGGAAACTGGTGTTGCAAAGATTATTTAAAATTACATTACTTCTGGCAAAATGTTCCTTGTCATTTCGGGGGCACCGTGAACGTCAAGATGATTTTAGTGGGAATTTTATGGCTCAAGTGAAATTTTTGTCAGACTATGACGATGTTATGCAACAGGTGGTGGAAATGCCTTCTGGATCTGTGCGATATCTTAGCCCAACTATTCAAAATGAATTGATAGATTGCCTTTCAAAAAAACTTACTTTTGAATTAACAAAACAAATAAATTCCGCAACATGTTTTTCTTTGCTTCTTGATACAACTCAAGATATCACAAAGATAGATCAATTAAGTATAGTCATTCGAACGTGTCACATAATTCGAGATAAAAATCTGCTATCTCAAAAGTTTGAGATCAAAGAAACTTTTTTGGGTTTTTTCCAGTTAAAAGATCATTCTGCTGGAGGAACGGCTCAAGAAGTTTTAAATATACTAAAAAATCTAGATATTTCCATTGAAAAATGTTATGGGCAAGGCTACGATGGAGTCAGGGTAATGAGTGGGGCTTATAATGGAGTAAATGCTTAAATAAAAAGAATTCAACAAAATGCCGAATATGTACATTGTGCAAGTCACAACTTAAATTTAGTAATAAATGATGCCGTAAATTGTTGTAAAGAGGTCTAGCAATATTTTGCCACTTTTCAAAATATATATTCTTTTTTTGGTTTAAGTATCAATAGATGGGATCTTTTAGCTTCTTTTACCAGTAAATCCAAAACATCTTTAAAAACATTAAATCCAACTCGTTGGTCAGGAACGATATTGTCTATTAGTGCTGTCAAACTTCGTTATCTTGATATTATTAAATCTTCAACAGAAATAGAGTTACAGTCTCATAAAAAAGAAGAAAGAGAAGAAGCTTCTTCCATTAAAAAATAAATGTGTTGCTTTGAATTTGTATTTATTTCAACAATGTTGTATAAAATCTTTACCCAGGTTAACTTCGCCTCAAAGGTCCTTCAAAAGAAAAATATTGATTTAAGTGAATCTGTGACTGTTTTAGAAAAGTAGAAAAGAACCTTACTGAATTAAGATCTTCTTATGAAATTTTAATGATTGAAGCTACGGAACTGGCTAACAAATGGACTATTCAACCGGAATTCAAGCAAAAAAACACTTTGACGAACTCTTAAGTGATTACAGATTTAATAATACTCAAATTTTATTTAAAATAAATGTTTTTAATATTGTTATGGACCGTGTTATGACACAGATTTCTAATAGATTTAGGAGCATGAAAAAAATTAAATTGTTTGATTTACTTCTTCTAAAAATTATATTAAGTTGCGATGAAACATCCATTAAAAATAAATGTACAGCCATTTATAACAAATATCCTGAAATATTTGAGTTAAATAATTTAATATTTCAGTATACCAATTTGTTAAATGTTTGTAAAACAGACCTTAAGAAAGATCTATTAATTAAGGAATATTTCAATATAATTTTAAGTAAGTATGGAGTACTTGAAAGCGACTCAAGTGAAGTTTACTTAATGTTCCTTTTATTTTTTGCGTTGCCTGTAACTACTGCAACTGTTGAAAGATCATTTAACAAGCTAAAATTTATAAAAAACTATCTTAGGTCTACTACAGGCCAGATTAGATTGAGCGATCTTGCTTTGCTCTCTATAGAGAATGAAGAAGCCCAAAACCTTGATATAAATGATATTATCAACGAATTTGCAAATAGAAAAGCAAGAAAAAGGGATTTTTAAATTTATTATTGTTTAATTTTTGTCTTTTATTATTTCATTATTTTACTTTGTGTTACTTTTTGTTTTTATGACAATAAACAATTTTTTATTATAACATGATATTTTTTATTCTTCAACATACCCATGACGGCCCCCAAAAAATGTTTGCCCCGGGGCCCCATGACTTCTAGCTAGGCCACTGCAAGGCGGAGTTCATTTGCCGGATTTTTTTATTAATTGGATAGCGCCAATCCAAGAACCGCAAGCTTTTTGAAACTGGCAGGTAAATAAAAGAAATGAGTGCTAATCGTAGCTATGTTCTTTTTCTTCATTGACAAATTGCCATAGCATCTGCACTACCAAAATCGTCTACTACAATGTTCACTAGAAGCATACGAGGCTTTTTTAAAAAGTATCGCAAATTTTGAATTTTCGCGGGCTACGTATGTTCGATTCACGATCTTTTTGTGGCGTTTTGTTGGTACTCATGACCCTCACTAATGTTGACAATATCGGCCATTTTGAATGTTCAGTCAGTGTTTGACAGCTGTTGTGCGTGGACGTGTTTTAGCTTGTCTCCGATTTTTGTATATTCCAAAAAATGGATCAAAGAATCTGTACTAAATTTTGTATAAAAAACAACTTGAAGTACGCGGACATATTTCAAATGTTGACTGTTGCATACGGCGAAGCTACTTTGGACAAAAGCAACGCTTATCGGTGGGACAAAATGTTCTCATATGGCTGAGAAGATATGAGCGACGAACAGACGAAAACATTGATGAGTTCTTGCCGCACGGCAGAACGGTCAATAAGGAATATTAGCTTCAAGTAATGCGCAATTTGCGAGAAGAAATCCGCCAGAAACGCGCGGATTTGTGGAAGAACAAAAATTGACTTTTGCACCATGATAACACCCCTGCTCATCTAACGTTACTTGTGTCCGAATTTTTGGCCAAAAACAACACTCCAATAATGTCTCACCCACCGTATTTCCCAGACCTGGCCCCCTGTGACTTTTTCTTGATCCCGAAACTGAAGAGGCCCATGAAAGGACGACGCTACGTCACGATTCAGGAGGTAAAGACGGCATCGAAGGAGGAGCTGAACAACAAAAATGATTTTTCAAAATGCTTCGAGGATTGGAAAAAACGTTATTACAAGTGTATAATTTCTGATGGGGATTACTTTGAAAGGGACAAAATAGATATTCATGAATAAATAAATATTTATTGATAAAACATGAAATTCGCGATACTGTTTGAACATATATACAGGGTGACTTTGGAGTTGAGTCATTAATTTTCAGATAATAATTGTAGAAGGAAGATAAACCAAAATATGTGTGTAAAAATAAAAAAAAATAAAAAAAAAATGTTACCTTGTTTTATATAGTATCCTCCCGACAAGTATTTCAGTGCGGACCTGTATTTGATCGTGAGGTCTTGGAGCACCGGCATGCCGTCCCCTGTGAGGTCTTAAGTCACCTGATTCACGAGCCCGTTGTACTACATTAACAAAGGCACGAGGGGTTGGTTGCACTCGATTGGGAAACCGATCCGCATAAACATGTGCCATTTTTTAATTCGTTTGAGCCACGCAACAGACACCACTATTCACTCACGCGTTAACGACTGACACTGACTGTATACAACTGAATAGAATAATTGTAAAAACATCGTTCCAAATTCTTTCGCTTTTTTGTTTCCGATGCGATGAACCGATAAGGCGGATTATATCCGTTGTTGCCAAACACGAGCACATAATATTATTATTGAGACAGGGCGGTACTCAAACTTCCAAAGGGCTATAACTTTGTTACTTTAATTTTACCAGAAAAATGGTAAAGGAAAAAACATTTCTTTTGATCAGATCTACTCGCTGTTAAAATAAATGACTCAACTTCGAAGTCACCCTATATATTAAATGTAGGCGCGAATTTACTCGAATGCTCATCTGCCAAAATCTTTATTTGAAACCCTATCGTCTTGCGAAAAAGCGTGAGATCAATAAATTTGTCTAGCTGCAACGTAAAATTCAATTTACTATCCTGTAATTACATCAAAAATATGCAACGTCTCTAGATTTTTGTTGAAATATGCAACAACCAGCGAAAGTAGGCTTAATCTGCAAATGCATATAATCCGATCTCTAGTGATCATATTCCGGGGTCATCTGTGAACTCCATCGTTAAAATAAAACAACTACTCTAACTTACACAATAACATTTATATTTCTGATAAACAACATTCACCGTCAAGTACATAAAAAACTTATTTCTTAAAATGAACGTTATGCTTATTGACTGCTCTAGATTGAAAAAAGCTGTTCAAAGAGCTTAAAGTCCTCTGACCCAAAGTATCCTCTTCTGTCCATTCCGAAGATACAGACTTATGTCTGTTGTTAGGCCTTGCGGGTATCCTCGGTCCGTCCCAGTAGTTCAAAAAATGCAGCAAAAGATCTTTTGTTTCACTGGGGTTGGTTACGCTAGACTTTCTTGAAGTGAACGTGCTGCAAGACTGTTTGTGGATATTGAGTGAAGACATAGGAACATCCCTTGACATGCTATTTAGTTTGTTTTTAGGCTTCCTCCATGATATCGAACATTCCTTTTCTGGTTGCGTCTTTATTTCAGTTTTCTTTGGCTTAGCTTCAGTCTCATTGTTGATGAGGTTGGTGTTAGACAGTTGATAGAGCTTGTCGGAGAGTTTCCTTATCTCTTCAACCAAATTCATTTTTTCAGCGTTGTCGTACTTTCTTCCGAACGCGGATGATTCGGAAGCTCTCCTCAGGTAATCAACAGGCGGAGGTAACAGGTTCATCACAGCATCATCCATTTCTCCTTCATGGAATGAGGCCAGGGACTCGCACGGTGAAGGCGACTCGGCCAATAACGATTCAGATGAGTTAGAGTAACTACGACCGTCACTAGTTAAAGATGGAGGATTTCCGAAATTGGCGATCTCGAAAACGTACGGCGAGTTTGGATGTTCGTTCCATCTCTCAACGAATTGCCTCAAGTTATCCTTGGTGACGTCCATGCTTGGAGTCTTGGTCAGTGCTGGTTTTCGCTTTAACCATGGATGATCGAGGCATTCTTGAGGCGACGGTCGCTGGCTAGAAGGATGTTAGTCTTAGTATATGAGTAGCGACATGCACAAAAAACCCAAATTAGTAATCATTAGTAGAGTAGTAGATGAGTTTTTCGTTGTCAAGGGGTAGATATGCACAATGAGATGAGATGATTTTGTGTAAATTGTAATCGCCCTTTTTTGACTATATTGTTCAAAATATATGGATATCGTCACGGATGGCATGTATTCTAAGCTAGTACAGAAATTTTGACGATCATTGGTTTGATGCTTGATCACAATCACATACAGGGTGTTTCACAAGTCGTGACCAAAAATGTAACGTCATACACAGAACCACATTTTAAGGGGGGTGTTCTAATGGATGATTCTTTTGCTAGTATCTTTTTGGCAACACTGTTTTTGACAGATGACGCGTGAATCGTGTCTTGTGTCATTATCAAACTTGTTTAGTTTGGTCTATAATATAACCATGAATCGACTAACGAACGAACAATGCTTGCAAATTATTGAATTTTACTATCAAAATTCATGCTCGGTTAAGAGAGTGCATCGAGCACTGCTTCCAAGTTATGGGCAATTTGGTCGGCCTACTGAGGGAGCTATTCGGAAGCTTGTGACTAAATTTCGAACCCAGTTTACATTAAACCACCAACACGCAGACGTAGAGTGAGGACTGAAGAAAATATTGCGGCTGTATCCGCCAGTGTTAGTGATGACCGTGAATGTCGATTCGCCGCCGTTCGCAGCAATTGGGCCTCTGTTACTCCACTCCGTGGAAAATTTTGCGACACGATTTGGGTATAAAACCTTATAAGATACAGCTGGTGCAAGAATTGAAGCCACACGACCTCACACAACCTTTCCAATTTGGTGAATGGGCGCTGGCAAAGTTGGAGGAAGATCCACATTTTTATCGAAAAATTGTG